TCCCAGTAGGGTCCCACAAGTCCATTCTGACAGAGCTATCTTGCTCAGTCTATGTAATCTACCAGAAGCTTCAACTGTAGAATACAATCCCTAATTCTTCACATTATTTGTTCCGAATTGAAGTTTCCTTCATGCTATGCTTTCCAAGAATACTTCCTTTGTTTTCTCTTGTTCCCTCAAGCGTCTATATGAACTCAACAATCCCAAACTGAATGTTGCACTTGTCTGGAAGCTTCCCCAATTCCACCAGAACAAAACAGTGACTTCAATTCTGTGCATATGGCCTTGTCAACGCAACCAAGAATTCTGTTTTCCTCCCCACCACAGTCATCACCTTGCTGATTTTACATGCAAACCACTGATATCTCAATAGTCTTCTGTGCTCATTCTTTTCATTTTCCTTATTTCAGGGCACTTTCCAAAGTCCTTTGCTACTAACTGTCATCCAAAGGGTGCGCTATCCCCTCAAGCACAGTATCATTAAAACCAAAGTGCTATCTTTTGGATGATGAAAACTAAAAAAAGCACGTGCTTCAACTAGTCCCTAGACGGTCATTCTCATTTCAGTCATTTAATGTTCACCATTTGCAATTCATTTTGCTGTGTCTCTCATTTCTTTAGATCACATTATTATTCATATATTATTATTATCACATTATTGAGAAATTGCTTTCCCAAGTTCCATGCTTCATCAGAAGTCAGTCCTCTCAACTTTACTACATTCAATAAACTTGAAAATTGTTTGTTATTTTCTACTTGTTTAAGATAGCTTTCTTAACACACGGTTAATGCTGGTCACAGTATGCCCAACGCATGTCAGTGCTCAAGAAGCACTTGGATGATTCACTCAATAAAATGCTTAAACTTTTGCTTAGCCTTGTAGTAATCAGGCAGATGATTTCTAGAGTTCTCTTTCAACTGAACTGTTCTAAATAAAATCTTTTTTTATAACATTCTAACTTTTAGAACTCACACATCACACTGTTCAGTTTTCTCCAGTTCATGTTGTTTAATCAGCCATCAAGAAGCCTGTACTTCTTCCCACTGCTTTGTTTCTACTGCATTGATTGAACTTGTTTGTTTAAAAAACATCCCAACTAAATTATCTTCCTCAAAAAAGCCTTAGTTAAAACATTATTAAAAAACAAACCACATGTTAAACCACTTTCTTGTGTTTTCTCGATGTCAGCATTCACGGGACTTTTCCTAAAGATTACTCACAACCACATATATTGTACTCACTTCATCTGCTTGTTCAAGTTGGCACATCTGTATATACACATTCACAAAAGCATACACAACGCAGCACAGAAGTCCTCCCAAATCTGTAACTTGTTCCACTAGAAATGAGGACTGAGAATGGAACATGTACTGCAAATACTCCACGTGCATTTAACAGCATTTTCCTACCTTTTTTAAGCCAGCAAATCCTTCTGATTCCAAGAAGAAAAAGGCAAAGGGCATCAACACAAACAAACACAAATTGGAAAAAAGAGAAGCAAGATTCCACAAACCTGAAATGAACAAGAAAAAGTTTACATTACAAGTTTCTCTATATTAGAAGTTAGTTATGTTACATTTTCCTTTGTTACATACAACAACAAAGCAAACATTTAAGTACTAACAGAAGCCAGAGTGTAATGGATACATATCTGTCTATGGGTCACTGCTTAAAAAAGAAAATACTTGAATCATTCTGTATTATAAGCTTTGAACAAGAAGTGGGTACCAACTTCAAGAGGGAAACTGGGTGAAATCTTGGGAAACAGGCTGCAAAATCAGGTTGACTACTTTCACTATATCCCACTTTTTGGTGTATTCAAAAAACAAATTTCAGGAGAAAAGTACTTTACCACAAGCAAATACCAAAAAATCAGATCTATATATTCACTATCTCACACATTTTTCCTTCAGAGAAACTCAGACAAACTGTGGACATTTTGAAAAATATTATCACTACCTCCAAAGTGAAAGAATGCAGTAACAACAGCAGCTCCTCAGTTACAAAAGGAGAGTAGATTATCTGAACCTTAATAATGCTTTCAACATTATCTCCCAGAACATTCCCATGGTGTAGCTCATGAAATACGGGACAGACAACTGGACAGTGAGGCAGACTGAAAACTGGCTGAGCTTTTGTGATCTAAAGGTTGTGAATAACAGTATGAAGTCAAGCTAGAAGCCTGGCACCATTGGTGCACCCCTGGAATACTGAGGTTAACATCTTTATTAATGACCTGGATGATAGGAAGGAGTGCATCTTCAGCAAGTTTGCCAGTGACAACAGGAGGAGCACGCTGAGGACCAACTGGTGAGAAAACAGCCTTTTAGAGAAGGTTCTGTTAGGTACCAAGTTGAACAGGAGCTCTTGCAACAAAGACATTTAATTGCATCCTTTGTTGCATTAGGAGAAGTGCTATCAGTACTCCAAAGGAGGTAACCCTTCCTCTACTCAGCACAGGTGATGGAATGCTGAATCCAGCTGTGGGCTCCTCCGTACAAATGGGAATATATTCTAACAAGCCCAAAGGACCCCAAAAATAATTAATCTTCAAGAAAGAAGAGCTGATCTTATCAATGTATATAAATATCTGTTGGGGGAGATGGTAAGGAAGCAGAGTTGGACTTCTCGTAGTAGTCTCCAGTGAAAGGAGACAAGGCAACAAGCACAAACTAAAAACAAGAAGGAAAAAAAATCTTTTTTACTGTCATTGTAGTCAAGCACTGCAACAGGTTGCCCATAAGCATTCTGTAATTTCCATTCTTAGGGATATACAAAACCCAACAGGCCACTACCTTGAGCAGCTTTTCCAACAGATTACATTGAGCAGGGCATAGACAAGACAGTTTCCAGAGGTCCCTTCCAACTTCAACCTCTCTGACTTAGAAGAAAAGCCAGCAACTGACTACTGCTAGGACATCTGTAAAACACGTGACATCTGCAGGAAGGGAAAAGGTTTAAGAAGCAATCTGAAGTGATAACTGATCTTCATTAAGGCTATCGACTTTATTAAGATTTTCTGATATGGGCACGTTCTGAACAAATACACAGTAATCAACATCACCCTATCAGATGTTTACATGATGCTGTGTTTCTTCTTAAGTATTACAGCTTAACCTGCAATTTCATACTAGTGTAACTATCAGGTTTAGCTAATGTTATAAGTACTGCATCTGAAAATACAGCTTCTGTTTTGCAGCTGAGAAAAACACACGCATATCCACAATTCTACATGACTAGTTTATCATCTGAAATCCAAAAAAGAACATCCTCCATGATAAAAAAAAAAAAAAAAAAAAAAAAAAAGAAAAATCAAAATACCACCTTCCTTCTTACAAACAGGCTTGTTTCCTTTCTAAAAACTGTCCAGTTTGGAAAAAATGGGAAGAGGTGTGCGCTAATGGTATGAGAAGTCATTATGGAATAAAATTCCTGTATTTAGTTCAAAATGTGAAATGGTTAGAAGTTATCTTGCACCTTAAAAAGAAACAAAAATGAAAAGCAAAAGAAGAAAAAAGACTTTCACCGGACTTATGTTTTTTCCCTGTAAAATACTGAAATTTAAAGGAGAAAAAAAAATGACAGGGAACGTACTACATCAGTTGATAGTGCCAGGACACAAGCTTAGTGATACAAATAAGACAAGAAAAACCCAAAAGATGCATGAAATACAATACTGAAAAATGCTAAAGCAAGCAGACTGCCTGAAGGTGGCTAAACTTAGCTAACAAAGAGGGGGATTTTTCTCTTTAGAATTTGCTGTCAGGAAGCTTCTGTTACCATGTGAGGAACATTAATTAACACACAACATCAGGAAGAACAGAATCATAAGTCCTTATCAGAAATAAAATAACAAGAGTTCTGTTTACATGTGTATATATTTATATACACGTATGTATGAACACATACATACACACCCACTCCTCCAGAAAATGCACAATTTCTCTAATGGAAAATACATCTGACACTAACAAACTGAGCTAACTAGAACTGTATACACAGTTGTCAAAATTTCATCAGCTGTGTTACATGTATCTACAGATCAAAACAGTGCTAAGGGATGCATATAATAGTACAGAGCATTTTAAGAGATGGGATGGTGGCACACATCTCAAGTGATGCCTAAGAAGTTGAAAACTAAAATTTACACATTAGCAGCTGATACACAATGTTAAACTGCAAAGGTACAACAGAAATACACCATTTTGAGAGGTAAGGACAGTGCTGTAGTGCTGACATACATACACACACATATATAAATACATATGCATACATTTCAACAGCTTCTCGTTTTTCTTTCTTTCCACCTACTTCACTGACTGAACAGAAGGCCTTCTTCCCCTATTACATTTCTAAGTTAACAAATTAGGATAAGAAATCAAATTAAAATACACCCTGAAAATAAACAGTTACTATTATATAGATTTTACCATGAAACTGCCTAAGATGTTTGCAGATCTTAACATATATAAAGCTTTAAGCAGTTCTAGTGGTTTGCTTTGGGGGAAGGTCTCTTTTTTTTTCATAAAAGTTTCTGCAGTGACTTAAGAAAATCCCCAAAGTTAATAAAACAAAAATTAAACACTTGGTCTTTGGCAACCATAGAACAGCCTCAGCAATTCTTTTCTGATTCATGACAGTTTCTTTGCATTCTACCTCCACCTGGTGGCTGTACCTAACAACAGCACAAGTGAACACTTTACAGCTGTTAGAAGCTCAACCCTGTCTGGGTTTAGCTCAACACACATTAGTTAAGGCTATTTAATCTGGGCCTAGCTAAGGGCCCTCTTCCTAGTTTCAAAAATTGAAAGCATATACTTTATTCTACGGGATTATCCTATATGACAAAACTAAAGCAACAGCCAACAGTAAAAACAACACACCTTAACATTACAATTAATTAAGTATCTCACACTACACGTACAATTGATAAATTAACACAAGCATTTTAAAGCAATACCAATTTTCCCATTCAGTAACATTTAATAATAAATGTTAGTAATAAATACATAAAAGCAAGGCCAGAAAGTTACAGAGATGGTAACATTTTCTCTATCAGCTCTCAGGACGTATTATTCATAAATCACTTCAAGAAGGTAGACTATTCATTCACGGGAACAGGGTTTTACAAAGCAAAGCAACACTACTCTGCAAACCCAGTGAATGCCACAAGAGGGAGCCCCTTCCAAAGGTAAAGTTTTGAAATAAACACCGACTTGTTCCCAAGTTCTGAGAAGCCCCTCGTCATACCTGAAACCTGCTAAAATTCTGACGGCTTCACACCAACTGAGGTAAATCCTGGTTTAGTTCAGTCACCTCTACCACTAGCATCAGCTTTGATCAAACCTGGAAACACACTGGTGGTGACTGCCTCGCATGTTGGCCGTTGCTATTGGACTTAGAAATGTACATGACATTGTGCAGGCATAAAGACTGCAACTTTAGGCTGTGGATGCCCCATCCCTGGAGGCATTCAAGGCCAGGCTGGATGTGGCTCTGGGCAGGCTGATCTGGTGACTGACAGCCCCGCACATAGCAGGGGGGTTGAAACTCGATGATCATTGTGGTCCTTTTCAACCCAGGCCACTCTGTGACTATGACTATCATATTAAATCAAAAGATGATGCTCACAGGATAATTCAGAGGCCTTCCTATCTGAAAACTACATTTTTCCAGCAAACTTCCAAGTAACCTGCATTTTCTGAAGTACTGAAAGAACTCTAACATACAGAGTACTACAGAATTGCTCACTACAGAACTTTCATCCTTTGCAACACATTCTCCCCAAAATAAACTGACACAGTGTGAAGGATTATTTTCTATGAAACAGTCTCTTTTCCTGTGTTCGAGAGAAAAGAATATAACTGCCTGAACAGCTGAATAGCCCATTACCAAGTAGGAGATATGCTAAATTAGCAGCCCCCTATTACAAGTGTGACTACCAAAAAACTTTAAAGTCATGGAGCCTGATCTCTCACTTAAAATAGATAACCAGCAGGTCCAGTCAGGCTACTCAAAGCTTTAGCCAGTTAAATTTTGGAAAATTGCCAAGGATTTAGTCTGTCTGGATGGCCTTTTATCCATCCATGCACACATCTTGCTTCACACTGCATGCAGCAGAAAAGAATTTGGCTCTTTTCTCTCTACCCCCACGTAGGTCAGTAAATACTGCAGTCAGCTCCCTGAGGCTTCTGTTTTCCAGAATCTCTTTGCACCCAGGGATGCAACCCACTGATCTGTTTGTTCCCGTTTATTATTTAGCACAATCCTCTCCTACAACACTCAGGGCCTATATCCTCCCCTGCCTCCTTCTCTGTGCCACAATTTGGCACAGAGACTCGTGAAATCCTAAAGCAGACCTTGCTAGCAAAGATTGAGGCAAGAACTACCTCAAGTTAACAACAGGATGATGCTTTCCTTCATCTTGCTGTTTGTGTCCCTATGTCCCAGTTAGGAAATCAGGTTTCCCTAATTTCACCCTAGAATATTAGCACAGGTGCTATTTCTATACTCCTCCTAGGCAGCTCATCCCCACTTCAACCATCCATGAAACTCCTCTTCAGATTTGACCTCAGGAGTTCCCTTTAGGCCAAATCAGCCTCTATCACAGCACACCTACTTGCTGTCATGCACAAGCAGGTGCACTCTTACAGCACTTTAAGGAGGTTATCTCTGGAAATAAGCATCTCTCCTGGGTTGCTTCGTCTTTGGGGCATTCTCCATCGACATTCCACTTCCTGAACAGTACAGAGTCCATTCCCTTAAAGTATGTCTTTATCCCATAATTTCTCTTATTTACTTGTTTTGCTATCTAGATCATACAAAAAAAAAAACAAAAACAAAACAAAAACTCAACTAATTTCAGAAAGATAACAGATGATATGCTTTATCTCCTGGCTTTACCTACCCACACATTAAATCTGTTGTAAATTTACTTCTTCTCATTAATGAAACCCTCCAAGTTGGGGGATGGGGAAATTCAGGAATTTGCTATGCATATTATCAGATGTCTTACTGAAGTGTGTATCACCAAACAAAAAATGAGATTTCATGCAGAGCCCAATTACCATCTTAACTTCATTCATTAGGCAGTGGAATGGGCTGCCCAGGGAGGTGGTGGAGTCACCAACCCTGGAGGTGCTCAAGGAACATTTGGACATTGTGGTGAGGAACATGGCTTAGTGAGAGCTATTGGTAATGGGTGGATGCTTGGACTGGGTGATCCTGTGGGTCTTTTCCAAACTTGGTGATTCCATGATTTTATGATTTCAGATTAAGTACCTCTGAAATAAATTAATACTCTCTGAAATAACACATTATCTCCTTCCTCCTACCAATTGCACTGAAGAACATCATGTTCCCACTAGCTATTTCCCTAGACACGTAGAGGTGTGCAAAAAGTTTTCTAATTAGTTAGTATTCATTACATATATTTTCTTACACTCAAGCATATTCATCAGTATTGGAAAGAATACAAAGCTCAAGGCATCATCTCTGCAAGTATGTTACCAGAAATTACACTCTTCTTGAACTGTTTCAATGAAAACAAGTTGCATTTTTATCATGCCTCTTTATTACACTTGATGCATTTACATTCTGATTTTCCTTGCTTACAAACAATTAAGAGTTGAATTTAACTATCTAATCATAACTGCTCACAGCTAGCATCTTTCTTCAAATGAAATATGCCCTTTATATACAAAGTTATCATCATCAACAGGCTTATGAAATTTCCATTTACACACCAGGAAGTTTAACAGAATGTTTTCAAGTTACTTAGGCTCAGGCAAGTCTAATTTACAACTGTACTCAAAGCAGTCAATTTGGTTTAGTAAAGAATTACTCAGGCTTGAAGGGATTAAACAAGAGAACAATGAAAAAAGATTTTTATGATGCACAATCCAGCAGCAAACCCATCTAACCAGGAAAATATCAACAATTCATCTAACATCTCAAAAGAAAATAGTGTTATTAGTTTAAAAATAATGAAGATATCCATTTTAATTACATTATGCTGAGTACTAACCATGAATTAGTGAGCCATTTAACCACTGAATATAGTAGTTTTGTGGAAAAGAAAGCAGGATCTCATTGCTGATTATTGAGAAAGGCAGAAGCAGGACTGCACCAGCTGAAACTGCTAGAGTGAAGGTGCTCAAGAACAGCCTGAAATTTAAAGAAATGTACCACTGTTACCAACATCAACATGCTCTGAACAGGGTTAAACAAAGTAGTTAGCTACCTATTAATTGGTATCTGAAGGCAATCCTGTGATTTCCACAATATTTCACATCAAAAAAGCAAATTCTAATACCAAGTAGTTTACAGAATATATTGAAATACTTACTAGTAACTAATTACTAGTAACTAACTAGTAATCCTCTTTGGAATTGTATGCATTCAAAATTACAAGGTAAATTGCTGAAATTCATGAAGTTTCTTTTGATAATCCCTTTTCATTTCCTCCTAAATTCTTACTACACTTTTTTTAAAAGCAGAGCAGCTTTTTAGTGTCTACAAAATGGGTACAATTACACAAATATATTAACATCAAACAAATAATTGCTGCTTTTTTCACAAATTAGATATTTGAACATCATGTCACAGCTTGGGGCTTTTTGGTAACTGTGAAGTCAATACAGAGGCATCATTAGGATTAGGTAAAGTATTCAATCTTATTCCTTTCAGATCAAATACAATTCAAATGAAATGCCATCTTGTGGCATTGGAAAGAACTGTGCTCTTCAGAAAAAAAGGCAAAAACATTCTCACAGAACAAATTAACTGACAGAACAAAGCTGCATAACAAAGAAATTGGGAATTATCTGAGTTTATAACAGGAAAGTCAATAAGCTACTTACAGAAATGTTACTTTTCCATAACAGTCTCTGCAAATCTATTATTCACTCCACAGTACTTAATTTGCAGAAGAAAGTCAGTGTGGCTAATTTCATTTCAGAAGAAGGTACTGCTATATGCTTTCGTTGTTGGTTTGAACTACTTTTCTTTTCCTAAAGGATACTGAATTATTCTAAGCCAGAATTGTAAAACCTAACACACTATATTCTAAGATGCTACTGCAGTTTGACTGTTTTCTCCCCCACTCACCTGTTAAGTCCTGAAAACTGTGCTGGGAAAACAAATAGCTATCTGCATGATTGACAGTCATTGCTTTCTGAAAAATAACATTCCCACCACTTTCTATGAAAAGATATTATACTGAAGTGCTAATGCTGTCCTGACTTACACAGCAGTCTTATAAAGTACAGAGTATTTAGAATTGATATTTGTTATGTTTATAAGCTAAACTAGGAAAGAAGATGCAGGGACATAACAGCTACCAGACCAAATTCTACTCTTTGGATGCTGAAAAATTCAGTGTGGCTAAGATCACTGCTGTCACAAAAATCATTCAATCTAGAAGAGTTTTAATTCACTGCAGTTTTAAAGCAGAGCAGAGAACCTTTTCTCTAAATTACAGCTGAGAGCTTCCTACACTAGAAAAGTAGGTAGTTTTTACCTCTCTTGATCTGAAGGCCTTGTGGCAAATGAGAATTTTAAATTCACAGAAAAATATCAGACATCAGTGGGCAGAGCATGTCTGAGATTAGTTTCATCTCTGTGCGCCTTTCAAGCTTGCCACAAGTGCACAGCCAAAAGTGAACAGCTTGCAAATGTACTCGGCACTTTCCCAGAGTACAAGACAAATCAATAAAACATGCAATGAAGCTCTCCTTCCAACAAGATGACAGTACCACCACAGAATAGCTAAGAACATTATAATAAGTCAGTAGCAAACCCACAGAGTATTGCAAATTACAAAACTGAGAGGGCAGCAACAGCTTACAGATGTTCTTTAAATCTTCAGATATATCTAAATAGGAGAGATTAATATCTAGCTTTATTAAAAAGAACAGGAAGAGGACAGTCTCTGGCAGACCAGCAGGCCTGGCAAGAGTTTCACTTCCATTCATTACTCTTTTCTAAGCACTCTTCAGATGATCAAATGCAGACGTCTACTTCATTGTGAGCGAAGTCGCTCCCCAGACCCCGCTGCTCCCCTTGACAAATTGCCATTGAGTAGAACAGTGGGACATACTTCATATATAGACATCTACACTTTAGACACCCTAACTTAGATGCAACCCTTGCACTGCACTGTACCTCTAGCATCAGGTCCCCATGCAACCTTTTGACCAACACAGTGCTTACCAGGAAGGGCACAGGTGAAAGAAGCCCTACACCAAACTGCCTTCTGTCATTACACCTTTCAGAATGCAAGTTGCCACATAATCAAGTATTTTTCCTCTGCCCTATGAAAGCACCATTTATTTGTCATCACATTTCAAATAGAGTTTTACTTGATTTGGAAGCATACACAATTCCTATCATATATTCAGGTAAAAAAGTCTTAAAAAGAGAGCTATACATACGATATTCTGTTAACTATGGCATCTTCATCCTCTTGCTCATCTGAAAAATAAAAAAATTAATTGTAGCCAGCAAAGGAAAATCTGTTGTTGTACATTCCAATTGTTTTAAAATAAAAAAAGGTCAATCACTTAAACCCTTCTTCTGTTCTTTATATCCTTTTCTGTACCTCTTGGTGTTATTTATGCATTCAATACCATCTTAGAGTGAGTTTTTTCCTTTAAAGTCTGAGATTTTCCATGAGGTTACTCAAAAATTATTTTTCAACTTAAGAAGAAACAAACCTGATGTTTCAAGCTTAAAGTCATGGACACTCAAACTAAATGTGTAGTCACCAACACAAGTATTTCTGTACTAGAATAATTTCATAAGAACAGGAGTTTTGCTTCCATTTCTTTCAGCAGAATCTGAAGCTGTTTTGATGGGAATCTTACGGCATTTTCAGAGACCAAGTGCAGATTTCTTATGAATTACTTTGGCTAGAAAAGTTGTACAAACAGCAACTTTTCCAGAAAACTCCAGAAGCGCTAACTCTACAAACTTATCGGAAAGAGTCCAGCAAGCAAATGAAATTTGTCTGTGTGAACAGTCACAAAACTTTCAAAAAGTAATGACAGCTGCAAGCATTTCTTCTCACTAGCTGATGAGATCAACCGCCAAAAAAGGAAAAAGCATCCTTACAGCCAACAGTTTGTCATAACAATTCTTTCTCCCCTTTCTTCTACACACCTCCAAATAGCAGCAGATTTGTAACACACCAGGACACATACCAGGATAACAAGTCATTACATTTTATTCACTTGTTTAACTATTCACTGTGTTTAAAGAGCATACATCATTTTAAAAAAAAAGCCACTAAATTTATTTAATATTTTACTTTTTATCTTGTATACAAGTCCATCTATGTAATAAACTTTATTCTTACAGGTTCAACAATCAGTTTCTACCCAAATTTGAAGCATCAACATCTTGTAGCAATCAAATGTTTTTCCAGCATGATTGACTGTGCATCAAGTCCCAAATAAGCCATCAAAAGTCAAACACTCTGCTGCTGTATATATTTGTATGGTATTTGCCTCTAGCAGAGACAGAAGAAAATGACAGGGGTCCCTACAGATTACAGATTAGTTTCAGACATACAGCGTTTCAAAAGTAAGGGAAAAAATAATTACCAATAATTACCTCAAGGAATAAGAATTCAGTGAAGAGGTCATAAAGAGCAGATTAAGGAAGAACACCAAAACAACTACACCTGAACAAAGCAAAATCATTACACTAAATCTACTACTTCCCTTCAGTAGTACTGGCAACCTTTTCATTTACCAGCTAGAGTTCTGAAGTTGATTTTGACACTAAAAGACACTGATTCTAGTAAAGATTACGTGAAAGGAGAACAAGATCTGAAGGCAATAGAGGCAGAATTTCCCACTTGAAATTCTCCCCTTTCTTCTGTCTCAAAACAGTTAAAATCCAGGCTGCCACAGTGCCATAATGGAACAGGTTGTGGCCACCCTCACCTCCTCCCCCCAACCACATATTTTCACTCAATCACAAAGGACCAGCTGTGGCACACACTGATCTTTACAGACACTTAAATGTGTTTCCACCCTTCACTCCAAACTGAGTTTTAATCTCCACTTTGATCCGAAATTGCAAAATTGCTCCATGAGGCAGCATTTAAACTACTTCTTTAACTGGTTCTTTAAAGATCTGTTGCCTTTAATGCACACTGAAGGCTCCAAGTGCTAGAGCTGGCACAACAGAAGGGATGGTGAACTCATGGCTTGGGGACAAAGGGAGCAGACAAAGGGTAAGACAGCAACATATACCAACAGATCAGCACAGGATGACATGATACAGCAGTCAGAGAAACACATTTCATCAGAGATCCAGGCAGATTCTTCTGCTGTTCTTGTGGAAGCAGAGAGGAAAGGAATCACCTATTCACTCAAAACATAAAACAAACATTGAAGATATTAACAACTTCATGCTTACCTGCTTTTCTTTTGTATCTTGTGATTATGAAGTAGGACACTATGTAGAGAACAGCAAATAGGAGAAAACAGATCTGGAATAAAAAAAGTTGTATTTTTTAAATTGTGAAAAATGTCTGGGTATAATAAAAAATAAGAAAATACAGTATCAATAATTTAAAGTTCAATGCAGATCAACAGAAGCACTGGTACCACTATCATAAAATTAGCACTGGTTTTATGGGTTCTATCTTATTAATAGAAAGTTAAACCAGTGAGAACAACTCAAAGTAATACTACTATAGTAATCCACCACAAGTCCATCAGGTTTTGCCTTAAAATGGAAACAAAACAAAAAAAGCCCTACCAGCAGCAGTATCTTACGTTTGTTTGTTTTGTGTGTGTTTGGGGTTTTTCTTTTGTTGCAGGTTGTGGGTTTTCTTTTTTTGTTTGTTTTTAAGTTTGAATCGATCTAAGTTATGACAATATAAAGAGCAGTAACACATTTAACATAGGGGTAATTGTACAATGAGCTTTTGAAGATCTGTAACAGAATAAGCTATCAACATACATAAAGAAAAAAGCAGCTGTTTGCTGTTTCCATCACATCTTGAGCCCAGCCAATTCTAGGCAACAATATACACCAGTAAGACTGCCACAGTGGACATCCATGTGTGAGCCAGTCAAACAGTCTCCTCTACAGTCACTGAAGCCAAGGGCAGAGGTCCTCTCCTCACAAGTCAGACAGCTCCTTTAGGTCAGACATACCTGCAGCCTGGGGTGACTTTAAGTCTCTAAGATTTGGCACCAGAACTTCAATACAATTAGACAAGGCCAAAACAGCTACAAATACTTCAGAAATTTGAGAGGGAAGGAATTGAATGATAAGACAATTTTAATCCTCCACATCTTAGGGGGTAACTAAAAGAATCAAGTCTCTTGAAGGAGACTTCAGCGGCTCAGCACTGCTTCCTTAATCTAGTTCACTGATGCCTATTAAAAACATGAGTCAGTCAGAAGACAGTAAAGCATGTCTCTGTGATGATGTGACCCTTAATCTTCTTTAGTACTTGAACAATAACAGTAAGGTGCTGTATACCAGCAGTGTAGTTCATTTTTATTAGCTTGCAAACACAGTAGCTATGCACAAAGGCTCAGAAATTACTTGAAGTAGCCCTAATGATTAAGACTATTTCTCTATCTCGTTTTGCTGGTGCACAATACCAGCAGTCACCAAGGTCTCAGAACACAGCAGTTAACTGAATAAGCCCAAATTGTTTTAAGAGGTTTTATGAACACAGAGAGTTCACCCTATTGCCTGCATAGGCTTCTCAGTCAGTTCTGCCTCTATCTGCAAATCATGGCATTAGAACACAGATACATTTTGCTCCAAACTGAGTTTTAATCTTCACTTTGATCTGAAACTGCAAAATTGCTTCACGAGGCAGCACCTAAACTACTTCTTTAATTGGTTCTTTAAAGACCCGTTGCCTATAATCATAGCACAGCTTGGCTTGGAAAGGACCTTGAATATCATCAAGTTCCAACTCCCTATGAGGAAAGAAGGACTTATTAAAAAATACAAATAAAAGTAAACTTGTGGTGTAATTTCCCTCAAGCAGCCAGACAGATAAGAATCAAAGCACAGCCAAGAGTCCCAGCATGGCTGTAGTTTCCCTACATGCTCTCCCCAGCAATAGTACCATGCCATAGGTCTGACGTGACAACTGAGCTCATTTTGAACTGATAACACACAGTGGTGACGTCCAAAATACTGATGCTAAAAATCAGATTTCATAACTATGTCTTTGAATTCAACTATTTCATCCAAATAGAGCTCACTGCCCCAGCTTCCCAGAGACTGCTTCAAAGACAGCAACTTCAATAACGGAAAGTGGTTTAATAAAAAGAAGTAATAATATGCTGGTATACTTCTGAATTGGAAAGGGCAAAAACCTTGAGAAGCACCTTGGGTTTTCAGAGCACTTCAACACAGCCCATCCTGTCAGTAAGAGATGACGCCAGGGCTGAAAAGAGTCCTTCTCTAAGTTTCCAGTTCCTTTGAAACTAGACCAAGCCTGCAGACAGAGGCATCTAATTTTAGGCATCCACCTTGGAAAATTAGGTATGACATACATGGGGTCAAGTAGAATTATTCTGAAAAGAATCCACAAGACCCAAATAACTTTGTTTCTGTCTAGAATACTGTTAAGCCCTCTTTTATTAAAAAACACCACACAACTATGACTGCAATCTCAAATAAAATAGATGCCCTCTACTCTAGCTGTGATTGCAAGGTTACAGTGAAAATGTGGGTCTGTACTTAGAAGACAGCCGTGAGATAACCGACCTATTTGCAGGGCACAGCAGGAGAAAGCTGCCCAGTAACATGAACTGTCAAACACTGCATTTGTGGTCTTTGATGACAGCTACTTAACAACTCAGCAGTAATGTGTAACTATATATCTTGGTGTAATTACCCTTCCACTTCTGTCAGAATGAAGAAAAAATGTTGCTATTGTAAATATTTGGTGAGGTGTTTATTATTGAAAATACATCAAATTTTTAAAATAAAGAAAAGAAAGCAGCAAATTCTCATCAGTAGAAGCTTCAGGTTCTTAACAAGTAAGGGTGTTCACAAGCTAAAGCTATGTACTGTTCAAAAGAAGTCAAGGAAACTCAGAAATGTGTCTCCAGTCTCAATTTATAACCAGTGGAACCCACGGAGCTGTTTACAACCAGCTTTCCAAAGGGAGCAGCAAAAGCCAGCATCCTAACTACTTTTAGAGTAGAACTCCTTCAGGATGAGAAAAAGGAATGTGTTTGTCCATGAAAGCCAAAGAATATACTCCACTGTCCTGTCATGCTGCAATCCTGGGCTCTTACTCCTCACACTGCTCTTTGTTTCAAGGTATTTTTGGACAGCAGCAAAAAAAAAAAAAAAAAAAAAAAAAAAAAAAAAAAGTACTTGCTCATACTTGTTCTAGTTTCCACCCATGTTTCTTAATTACAAATGAGAGAGCTGGCATGCAGTGCTCCAGGTAGGCTCATGGCTGCCTGGCATGGCTGCCAGCAGCACTACGCCATCCCTTCTGCACTCAAAATACTTCAATCTGTTCACCAAAAACCATGTTAGCAATTGAGTTATCCTCCAATCACCAAATTCATCCCTGCTGTTCTCCCCATCTGCTGAGCAGCTCTCAGCACAGGATAGAAACTTGTTTTCAGGGCTCAAGGGCATCACCACCTCTTTTTTATCCCTTTTAGAAACCACACCTTAATCTCTACTGCCTCTGTTTCAGGGCAGCCAGGTCCTTTGTGCGCTGTGTTCCACTGATGCAGCGTGTTTACCAGATCTCCTAAAGAAACGAGTGCAGCAAGAGTTCTCTTCGTGGTCAAACCTGAGCATGAATGCTCTTCCTGCTGAGACCTGAGGAAAGTGAATAGCACATTTTTCCCAGTGTGACATCTGTTGTCACAGACACTACAACCAGCTCCTTATTCACTTCAAAGCTCCACTACAAAGGCGTACCTACTCAGTTTAAGAAGCATATTTATATGTATTCTCTGGATATAGCCCTTACCATATGCAAAGGAAACAATCTAACAACAGTCATGCATCTTTGAAAAATAACTCTTAGCAACTCTTTCTTTCCCCCCTTTAAAAAAAAAGCTTAAAATAGGGCAACTCCACAAATAACTTTTATTTCTAATCAAAGCTCTTAAGAAGCATCCAGGTAGTCATACTGAAATAGAACACCATTCTAAAAAGCACACCATGCACAAAAGTACATTGGTATCTTTAGTGAAGGAAGAACCCATATTCTTTAAAAAAAAAAAAAAAAAAAAAGCTTTCCCTCAGAAAAGTATTATATATGACAGTAATATACATAAGCTAACACCACAATGTGCTATTAAATCCAAGTCATGCTGCAAGCCATGTTTTCCATCAAGAAAGAGCATTCTATGCCATCATTCATCTCTGCAAGATCTGACAAAAGGTGAGGATGCTGCAAATGCAATGAATCTGGGACAAGTTGTATTGCTCATAACCTAAAATCTTCTGCAAAGTTTTGTCACTGGAGCTCAAATTAAGCTCATCCAGATGCAAAGAGAAAGTGAAGACAGAATGTACACCGCTGTGATTAATGAGGATTCCTGACACCAATGGTATTAATTAAAAACCTTATGACTTTAAGATTTTTCAGTTCCTTAAATTTATTTTAATTTTACAGAAGCAGAAAGCAGTCATCGTGCTGCTGTAGTTAGGCTGCTCCTAGGAAGCTATGTCAAAGCTAACCATGGCATGTTCTCACATTATAAAGGAAGCACACAATCTTTGATTGACCAGGTGTACCCAAATGCAAAGGAAACCAACAAGAATGTAAGAATTTTTACTGTCAGAGCCCAACAGTTACGCAAAATAATTTGTGTTGTTTGTTTTCTTTTTCTTCTAAACACCACCAAGCAACTGAAAACAAAGCACATGGATGTGGTGCTACATTTAGGGTCTTCCTTTTAACTGGGAGTAAGTAATTCATTTGTGTTTCTCTGCATAGAAGAAAAAAAAAACAAAAACCATCTGGCTCAACAAGCAAACAAACCCATCCTTTCCCCGTCTTTCACTTTCATTTAGGAAACAAAATGCTCTGTTAGACACTGGACACACCAAGAGAAACCACTTCTGGAGATGCACTGCACTTTGTTGTCTTATATCCAGCTCTTCCACAGAAAATTATACTTCTGGATCTGTACCAGACAGCTCAGTTCCTGTGAGGATGAAGCTGGAGATGAACTGCATGCTTTTCAGCTTGTTGCTACATGCATCTGAGGGGCTGGCACTGCAATCTAATATTAAACACAAGTAACAAAAGTCTGAACTAGCTCAAGTTACCTTGTACGTATCCCAATATTTATAAAGATCAGCTGACATCAATTTGTCCATGCTGATGACCTCTAAAACTTTGGAGCTAAAGTTCACGCCATGGACTGAAAACCATCATACTCTTTTGTTAACTACTCCAACTCTAGCCAGTGATGCTCTTCTGCTATGAAAAAACTGGGTATCTTACAGAACATAGTGCTTTAACAGTAA